AGAGACAGCCCTGCACACCAGCATTCAGCTGTGCAAAGAGACAGCCCTGCACACCAGCATTCAGCTGCTTTGCAACACTGCCCTTGAAAAACCCGGGTGGGAAGGGTCTGTAAGGTGGTCAGTTACATGCGGCCTTTGGAGGAGTTCTTACAGTCATTCAGAAATGGTTGCACACAGATTCTGGGGGTCTTAGTCAATTTCAAATTCCTAGAGCATTGCCGGGGTGCCTCACTGTCTCTGCCTGAAGCCTGCTCCACCAAAGCTCTGACAGCCTGTGGGGCTTCCTCTCCTCCAGAGTGGGGCTCTCTGGCAGCTTCTCAGGGCTGCCTTCCCTGGCCACCTAGGCATGCTGTTGCAGCCTATAACCACTTCCCCAAAACCTGCACTCCCTACCTCACCTAGCCAGGCTGTTGCAGCCTGCAGCCATTTCCCAACCCTGCCCTTCCTACCTCACATGTCAGCCCTTATAACTGGCACCCTGAGCTACTTAGCTAGTGGAAGCTCCAAGTGGGTGGAAACTTCCGCCTGTCTCATCCTTGCTATACCCTCAGCACCTGGAACAGCACTACCATTTGTATGACTAATTAATTCTGCTTATAGGAATCCTGTAACAGATGCAAGAGATCTACTTAGTGGCTAAAGAGGTGCTGAGAACTGTGGTCAGAAGTGGCCTCTGAGAGGGGCAACGTGGAGGGAGATTCAGCTCAGATCTAAACAAAGCTCATACCACCAGAGGCCGGGAGCTTATTCCCTGAAATCCCTAGGCCCTTTTATGGCTAGTTTCCACATGAGCTTTTGGGGAGAGTTTGGAGAAAAGAGAAAGCAGTGTCTCTTGTCTTCCAAGAGCCACACCAAGGGCCTGTTCTGCTGAGACACACTTGAAGCTGAGAGGCTCATGCTCTGCCTCCAAAGGCCTCAAGCTTTTAATCTTGAAAATGCATATTTTCCAGAAGACCAAAAATCACACTACAATAAAGATATCTGTATCAGAATGTTCACTGTGGCCCAATTCATAATTGCTAGGTCATGGAGGAAGCCCAAGTGCCCATCGACCCACGAATGGATCAATAAATTGTGGTATATGTACACTGTGGAATATTATGCAGCCCTAAAGAAAGATGGAGACTTTACCTTCTTCATGTTTACATGGATGGAGCTTGAAAATATTCTTCTTAGCAAAGTATCTCAAGAATGGAAGAAAAAGTATCCAATGTAGTCAGCCCTACTATGAAACTAATTTATAGCTCTCATAGGAAAACTAGTAGAATATGGATGTCTTAACACAAGAACCAAGAAAACGACATGAAGGCTATGTTGGCCAGTTGGATGAAAGTATTTCAAGTTGTATATAGCAACAGCACTCTGTACCCCATGATAGCATTAATGTACACATGATTTAATAATAAAAAAAAAAAACAGAAAATGTGAAAACTTTGCTTTCCTCACCAGGTAGTTGTGAGGAAAGATGAGATAATGCATGCGAATGAGCTTTTTGGAAAATAAAAGAGAACTTACAGCTATGAGGTGTTATCATCTACGCAGCCCTAACCTGCCCGCTCACCCCTCTGCAAGGGCTTTGGTTTGGGGAAAGCCTTGGTTTCGTTGTCCTTACCGTGGCCAGGAGGGAATCCAAGAAACTGTCAGAAAAGACAGTGCCTGTCGCAAAGGACGTGCTGAGATGCAGGTCTGTCCCTGGCATGGCCTCTTCCAGTCCACCAAGCTGCTCGATGAAGTGGATGTTGTAGGGGTTTTCTGCAAGGCAAGAGGGAGGGGAAAAAAGGCAAGCAGACAGGGTTAAGAATACAGACACCACCAACCAAGGTAGGCCGATGGGTGAGCACTTGAGCAAAGGATCCGACACCTACTCTGGGTCTCTGGGGATCTACTCTGCCCTCAGGATCTGTTTTTCCTTTCCAAAAAGGAAATGTCTTTTTCCCCTAAAGATATGTATCCCCTTGGGTACTTTCACCATCAAGGGGACATTCCTATACCATGGTTCAGTTTCTCCAGAACTGTTGTGATTGTCACCCTTAGGTACAGTAGAACCTCCACAGCTGACCATCTCCCCATGATAACTACCTTCCCACAATGACCACCTCCTTAAGTTGACCTAATTTTCATAGACTGGACATGACCACATGTACATGTCAGTAAGTAGGCCTAGTTCCTTAAATTGACTACCTCCTTGGTCAACTTACAGAAGGTTGACTGCAATTTATCTTTCAAAGTAGGACATTTGGGGAAGGAAAGGGGGGCACTTAATAATTGCACTGAAACCCAAGCTATTTGGGAGGCTGAGGCAAGAGAATCGCTTAAGCCCAAGAGTCTGAGGTTGCTGTGAGCTGTGACGCCATGGCACTTTACTGAAGGTGACAAAGTAAAACTCTGACTCCAAAAAAATAAATTGCACAGAAATAGGCATAAGTAGGGACACATGGTCACACCAGTTATAGTCTTTTGTCATAATACTATGCTTCAGGTGATTTGGCATTTAATTCCTAGAGTTACGGGAGCCCAGAGTGAGTGAAAACAGTGCCTTTCAAAATTAATGTGCATATGACCCACCTTGGGATCTTTTTACTTTGCAGATTCTGATTCACTGGGTCCAGGGTATGAATTAAGGGTCGTGGTCCCAGAAGCTGGTGTGATGCTGGTGATTCATGGACCATAGTTTGTGCAGGAAGAGCCTAGCTAGAGAATCATTCTAATTGGGACCACTGCAACAGTAGCCAAATTATCCATTTGCCTGTCTACACTGGCCCCAGGCTGCAACACAGACCCAGGTAGGGATCTGATCTTTGTCAGGCTTTGTCTCTAGACCCATGCCTCAAAATATTGGTTTAAGAACAGCATTGGAAAAGAGAGAAAATGTCTCCCACTAGAGCAAAGGGAAGGCATGCTACTGTCTGTTAGAAAAGATCCCGGTTTCCTAAGTGCAGATTCCTATCCTATAAAGCAATTCACTGAGGGTACAGGTGTCACCCAGCTCTTCTCATGTCACCCAGTGGGAAGCAGGGCTTGGGCAACCAGCACAAAACTGATGATGCTCTAGCCACTGTTACTGCTGTGAGTTAGTTTTGTGTCTGATCCAGGGATTTGGGGTCTTCTGCCAGGATCCACGAGATGGCGGCAGGTGAACTTGTCAGTCTGTCAGTAGGATGAGGTCCTGCAGCCTTCGTGGTTCTTGACATTATAGTTCTTGATATTGCTGATCAAAAACAAGCAGCTGGACATACGACTCAGAATACATTCCTTACCAAGACTGGCTATTCTGTGATCCCTTAAATTATTTCTTAGTAAGTTTTGGGGCAGTGACATAGTGGTGATGTTAATGAATCGTTTTCTTCTGAGAACACCATTATTTTTATATATATAAAAAAAATGAGCAAAGTATGACTAATGTAGACCCATATGTTCTGTGTACTTCTGCTTTTCTCTCCTTGCATTGCCAGCCCTACACACACACACAGACACGTTCCAAGAGCCTTTGTACAAATCTTGCTGTGTCACCCTAAACCAGCAGCCTCAGCCTCAGCAAAGGGCTGGCCTGAGGCCTGACGCTTCTATGTCAACGTGACCCTTTCCTGCCACACAAAGAGCAAGAAACTGAGACGGCTGGTGGCTGACTTGTCAGGTTAGTTTGACATCAGCTGCCTGGTGCCAGAAAGTCTGTAGTTGGACAAAGCCTAGAAGTCCTTGGAGAGTGACTAGGGGCTCCTCTGGGCCAGTGAGAAGTGGGCCGATTCCCTCCCAACCTCCCTAACTTAGGGTCCTCTTCAAATGAACATATTTAGCATATCCAGTCAGCACTCCATATTCACAGGTTGTGCATCCAAGGATTCAGAAAATTGTGGTTGGAAACCCCCAGATAAGGAGGGCCGACTTTACTGTGCTATTTCACATAAGAGACTCAAGTGTCAGGGGATGCTGGTACTTGCAGGCCTGGAACCAATCCCCTAGGGATATGAAGGGCCAACTATACACACCCTGGGAGTTACAGATCGTTCAAAGGAGGAGAAAATGGCAAAATATAAATCAAAACTGTGAGAGCCTCAAGGTGGTTACAAATATACTGGTAGGTACCAGACAAGATGCAGGGATCTGAGACTGCTCCAGGATCCAGGGTGACCAGATGGTTTCCCACCTGCTGTGTGGGCCTCTCAGCTCACATTGTGGTGACACCTACAGATTCCTCTCAGATCCCCCTGCTGCCTTTCCAGTTTGAGATAAGTCCCACTGGCTTGGATACTGTAAATCATACAATGCTCATTAAGCATTTTTCTGTTTTATGGAATCAGGTCAAATCACACCGAGGACAGGCTCTAGAGACCGTCTCTGAATTGGCTCAATCTGCATTAAAGGCACTACTCTCCTCCTCTTTAGTACTTTCTCCTTTTCTTATCAAAACTTCTTGGTAGTAAATCCAAGTGTGTACCCCAACACCCCTTCAAACGTCCCCTTTCCCTCCCTTTGCTTCCAGAGCTCCTCCTGTTGAGGGAAGTTTCAGAAATGCTCATTTTCCATAAGGTGTTGGCCAGAGATAATAGCATATTATTTTTTCAAAGAGTTTTTCCATTTTAGAAAAGCACAACTCAGATCTGGGACTAAGAGGATGCAGGGAAGATACCGGGGACACAAAAGTTATGGATTCCAAGAGTGAGCACCTCCTCAAAGTCTGCA